ATAAATAAAACTATTCTTTGCAAGAATTGTAACTTGAGTGTAAAAAGTTCAGTAAAATGGACACTGTTGGATACTGGAAGAGATAAATCTTATCGCAGTTTCTTTTGATGTTTGACTCGTTTTGTTTAAATTGCTAAGATTACTTTATAGATTGATAGGAGGAAATAGACAAAAGCTTTGGGATATCAAAGAATTTATATGCTTTTAGGGACTGTTTCTTGTCTGGCTCGTTCCACTGTGGTGCTAATCTGAGCAGAGGACCCTCTTTGAAGTCAAAGAGTTTCAGATTTAGATCAGCTTCACTCAGTGCCAGATCCTGAAAGGAAAGAGGTCCTAGAATACAGATAGCCATCAAATTAAAACATCAATGCTTGAAAGATATTAGTTCCAAGTCTGGCCTTACTGTCCTTTGATATGAAAATGAACTGGAACAGCTAGCTTAGGCTGAGCTAAATTCAGGTATAAGGTATGTTTGATGTTTCTTTCTCATAGATAGAATCTTAAAGTTCTGAATCTGCTTTTATTAGTATAATGGCTATATTTTAATTTCAGATATGGTTGAAAAATATTATTTCACATTATAATCATGGTCCTAGACAGGATGGGTGTCTCCCTGAATGTTGCTCCCATGGCTCTTTGATCAATGTGTATATTGTCTGAGACACTTTTTCCCCTTGGGAAAACCTGAATATCAGAAAATTAATCTATGGAGTTGTATTTGGGTTCCCAATATCTTTTGCCTTCATTATAATTTACAGTTTTCTCCTAGTGAGTTATCATGGTGTTCCATATGGAAATTTGGGATGGCCATTACATCAAAACCTCATACATTTTGCCCCTCAATGATGATTGTCTGAAGCTCTGTGCGGGCTCCAGTGGTGTCACTGTCCTGGCCTGAAACCTAGCTGGACACATGGATTGGTTAGGGAATCAGTTGGGAGCTTTTAGATATTTTATGAACTTTTATAGTTGATGTTTTATTTATAAACTCTTATTCTTTTAAGGCATCATAACATTTCCAAGTATATCACACTGAAAACTTGGTGGTTACAAACCTCTATGTGACTTTCCCCATTTCTGCTGATCCTTACATAATCTGGGAACAGAATGAAATGTACCTCTATGAGCAAAAATGGTCAATCTGAGTTCAAAAAAATCACTCATTTGTAAAATAAATATGTATTGAGTGCTCATTATGTACAAGTTTCAAAGTTGTGAAGATGCTGAAACAAATAAAATTGCAAAAAATGCCTGCTAAAAGAACATTTATATTCTATAGTGAAAGAGAAACAGTCCACGACCCTCCCCCTCACCAATAAGTAAATTTTCTTGTATGTTAGAAGATCATAAGTATAGAGAAAAGTATAGCAGGGTAAGAGGTGGTTGTCACCAACTTATGTTGGGTGGCGGAGATAGGTTTCTTTGAAAGGGTGACATCCAAGGAGGTGATGCTTCTTGAGAGAGTATGGTCAGGCCCTTCCTCAGGGTCTTGTTGTTTATGTAATTTGAGGTCCTGCCATTTACCTGTACTTAAAGTGTAACCATGAGTTCAAATCCCTGATTCTCAAGGCAAATAGTACAGTTTGTTTTGAGATCTCATAGGTCTTTATTACTAGAGCCTGTGGTGAATTTTGTGTGTCAGTGATGGGGATGGTGGTGAGGAGAGTGGTGGGAAATATTTTCTGAAGGGGAAGGGTGTGTTCTTGCTATCCCCACCTTCACACCCAAGATTTATGTTACAATATCTAGCACTGCCTATAAATAGAATTAGCTCTGATAAACTTACATACAAAATGCAATTTCCTTTTTTTTTTTTTTTGCGGTACGCGGGCCTCTCACTGTTGTGGCCTCTCCTGTTGCAGAGCACAGGCTCCGGACGCACAGGCTCAGCGTCCATGGCTCACAGGCCCAGCCGCTCCGTGGCATGTGGGATCTTCCCGGACCAGGGCACGAACCCGTGTCCCCTGCATCGGCAGGCGGACTCTCAACCACTGCGCCACCAGGGAAGCCCCAATTTCCTTTTTTAAACCTAAACTTTGCCCTGTACCTGTTATGTAGTGAATATTTAACAGATATTTATGGAAAGATGACTAAAAACATAGATTGCAAATTGGAGAGATATAGTAGTTATCACTGAATTTTTTGCTGGATTCAACGTCAGGCTGGTCGGTTCTACCTTGTATGACTAGCTAATGGTGATTCCAGCCTGTAATATTACAGCCTATTCTTATTATTTAAGTTATAATTACAGTGACTAGAGTGATCTGTAATTTTAAGCCAAGGAAGGGAAACAAATGAATTTGCTTTCATACCTGGAAGCCTTGACATACTAAAAAAGAAATATGCTCCAAATTTGGATATTGTTAGGAGAACCTAAAAGAAATATACTGAACACAGAAAGTATCTCTTATGGCAACAAGAATGATGTTTGGACTGAGAAGGAAAGGCTACATATGTCTTAGAGATGCATAGAGCCCAAGATAGATGAAGAACTAGAAAGGACAACTAGTTGCTCTAAATAAGTTCATATCTCCTGGTCTAGATAAATCGTATCTCAAAAAACAGATGAAATTTCTAATTTTATTGCAAAAGAAGTATTGTAAATGATGGGAAAGAGGAGATTTACCAGAAAAAAGAAGCAAGCTGTTTTTTAACACAAACAATGGAAGGTAAATTCTGAAAATTATGGCAAATTCTTAGGTTGTGAATGTTTACCAAAACAGTTATAACTGGAAGTCAGACATTTTCTTCAGCAAAAGACATTTATTGAATTCTTTCCAGCTTCTAGCTTTTGTGATGTCTTTCATGATATCTTGAACAAGGAGAGATATTTGAGAAGTAGTGATATATTTCTGTGAATGCTTAATCCAAAGCATCCTCGAGATCACTGTCTATCTCATCACCTTATTTTAATTTTATGCATATTATTATCTCTCTATGGCTTTTCTTTTGCTTTCTTATTTATTTGTTTGTTTATTGTTTGTTTCAGTTCATTAAGATGTAAGCTCTAGAGAGTAAAGGCTTTGTGTGTTTGTTTACTGCTGAATCACCAATACTTAGAGCAATGCATGTCACAAAGTAGATACTCAATAATATTTTGTTGAGTGAATCTATTAGTTGAACTGCCGTATCCAAATAAATTTACAAGATGGATTGATGCCCACCAGGTTGGCAGAATGCAGTAGGCAAGAGCTCCCTATCCTTGTATGTGACTTGAATGAAGATAAAGATGATATGCCTAAAAAATGGTTCATGAAATAATATAAAATTATTATCTTTGCAGTTTACAATGACTGACAAATCTAATCAGTGAAATTGGATAGAGATAATACCTAAAGTACTATTTTTGGATCTAGAAGGAAAAAAGCATAACTACAGGATAGAGGTTAATTTCAACAAATGTTAAGAAAAAGACGAAAGGATTAGGAATTTTAGGTAATAGCATACACAATGTGATCCAACAATATAAAATGACCTCAACTTCATTCTGTGTATTCTAAACACACCACAAAAACCAAGGAGGCAATGCCAATGAGTATCATCTTCACTGTATTAATTGAGTTTATTGTCAATATCACGTCAGTGATGATGATATTCTACTTTGTGTTAAAAATACATCTAGATAAACACACCTTTAAAAAATTTATATATAATAGTGTGTTAATCCCAGATTCTTAATTTATCCTTCTCCCCACATTTCCACTTTGGTAACCATAAATTTTTATTTTTTATTTGTTTTTAGAAGAAATGTAAATGTTCTTTTATTTTATTTTTAATTTTTTTTTTTATTTTTTGACTATGTAGGGTCTTCACTGCTGCGTGTGGGCTTTCTCTAGTTGTGGCCAGTGGGGGCTACTCTTCGTTGCAGGGTGCGGGCTTCTCATTGCAGTGGCTTCTTTTGTTGCATTGCATGGGCTCTAGGCACGTGGGCTTCAGTAGCTGTGGCAAGTGGGCTCGTAACTATGGCTCATTGGCTCTAAAGTGCAGGCTCAGTAGCTGTGGCACACGGGTTTAGTTGCTCCGTGGCATGTGGAATCCTCCTGGACCAGGGCTCAAACCCGTGTCCCCTGCACTGGCAGGCAGATTCTTAACCACTGCGCCATCAGGGAAGTCCCCATAAATCTTTTTTTGAAGTCTGTGAGTCTGTTTTATAAATACGTTCATTTGTATCATTTTTTTACACATTGTAGATCAACTATAATCTAATATAAAATAAAAATTAAATTAAAAATATTTAAAGGAATATTGACAGAGGAAAGGGATAGTGAAATTCTTCAGCTGAGGATCAGTAAGGAAGGGGTAGGTGGAAACAGCAGTATAACTATCACACAGAAGAGAGCTTTTAGTTCAAGCAGGGAAAAAGAGGACCAAAGTCCTATAGGAGTAAGTTAGCAGGAAACATATTTTGGCTCAATATAAAGGGGAATTTTGTACCAATTCTAACAATTAGACCTAAATGTGCTGCCTTGGGAGGTAGGCAATTGTTCATGGTGTGCCTGAACAGAGAATCAGAGAGATTGATGACTTGGATGAGGGGGTTGAAACAGATTGCCTTCAATATCACTTCTAATTCTAAGATTGTATGGCATTACATTTATAATAAGATATTGCTCTGTAGAGGCTTCGTCAACTATATTCTTTAGGACAGCTGTGGATAGGAGAACAAGCATTATAAATGATTACGCATCCTGAAAGGAGAGGCAAGAGCATATGGCAGGTAAAGCACAGTTGTTGAGCTGGAGCACCCTTGTCCAAATCCCAGCTATGATTTAGTAGCTAGTGACCTTGGATAAGTTTCTTAACATCTGTCTGTTTTAGTTTCCATATATAAGGTAAACATAATGTAATACCTACATAATAGGTTTGTTGTGAAAACTAAATGAGATAATACACATTAAGGTTTCAGAAGAGTACCTGGCTTGTAGTGATTGTTATCTATTATTATTGTTGCAACTATTGCTACAGTTAAATATCCACAAACCATTGTGGAGTATTAATAACATATTTTATTCTGCATTATTTGTCTGTTTAGGTATTCCTTGGGAAAAAGTATCTTATAGAGAAGCATGGATATTGGATCCAGATGGACCTAGATTCCAAATCTGTTTGTTTTTTATGGGCTGTGGTCTTAGATGAGTCACCTGAGCTCACCACGTCTTCTTTTCCTAATGACTCTTTAGTTATAAGGATTCTGCAAAATTAAATGAGGCAATGCATGTTATTCACCTAGTCATAGATGTCAGCTCTAATTCCACATGCTGAGATGGCATTTTATTTTAGTGCTTATCCAAATACATTATTTTCTGGAGACCATAGCAGCACTGGATCAATAGAGAGACTTATAATTAATGACTTTAGTCATTAATTATAAAATTACAGAATTCTGCTTCAGTAGGTAAGCTCAAGTCTTGAAGGGACCAGAGACTTTCTTCTTCCAGGTCTGGCATTTTGATTTTTTTCTACTTGAACTTCTTCCTAAGGAATATGAATGTGCCAGCCTCTTACCTTCCTCACACCAGTTGAATGAGGGTACACCAATCCCATCCATAAAATTCAAGGTTTTATTTTACTTGATTACTGTGTCTTCTTCTGTAGATCCTTTGGTCTTCTTTCCAGGGGACGAAGACAGCCTGGAGCTGCATGCCAGTTTCCCACTGGCTCTGGGCGAGTGGGGAAGTTGCCTGAGAACTTTTGAAATGAGAGGAACCTTGAGCTTAGTTAAGCAGCTTGGGACCCAGAACAATATTCAAACTGGGCCTTTGGTTATGTATATGATACTGGTTTCTACAACTTTCTCACGCTCAACCCTCTTTCCCAAATACTTCCCAAAACGGAACTAGATTACTCTGAGTTTTACTTAAAACTCAGAATGTTGGGCTTCCCTGGTGGCGCAGTGGTTGAGAGTCCGCCTGCCGATGCAGGGAACATGGGTTCGTGCCCTGGTCCGGGAGGATACCACATGCCGTGGAGCGGCTAGGCCCGTGAGCCATGGCCGCTGAGCCTGCACGTCCGGAGCCTGTGCTCTGCAATGGGAGAGGCCACAACAGTGAGAGGCCCGCGTACCGCAAAAAAAAAAAAAGAAAACTCAGAATGTTTTATCATTTGATTCATTAACATCACTGTATTAGAAAGTGCAGGAAAGGGTGATGAGGTTTAAAAAAATGAAATTAAGATCAAGAGCACGGCCTTCTAGTTTTTCCATTATGGAGTTAAATTGCTGATATCACTTCTATTCAAAATATACTACTCTCTAAAAATTACTGCTAAATTTTATGTGTTCTGATCATTGTTTTTATGAATGATGCAAGAGAATGTATTGAGTTCAATTAAACTTATTGGCATAATATTTGTTAATTATGACACTATAAAAAAAGAATTGCTTTCCTTTGAGAATCAAGCAAAAATACCCCAAATATTTATACAATAGTATTCTTCTCAGGGTATGCTGCTAATGAGAAATCTATATATAACTTTGTGAAAATGAATGTTTTTAAGTTCTGAAATGATATAACATATACTTGCCTATAATCCCTAGGCTGATATTTTACTGTGATATTTCTTTGCTTCTCATTCTAATAAAATATTAACATGATAAACTAATTTTTTTCTGTCAAAAACAAGTTGTTGAAGCATAATCACTGTTTTCTTCATTTGATAACATGTGGTTTAACTTGGTAGAACTAGTCTAAATTTATGTCACGTTCTTTCCCCTTTTCAACTCCACTCTTGCTTTCTGGTTACCCCCATTCTAGCAATACAAGACCAAGTCCAGCTACAAGGCTTTTGCAGCAATCCCAACAAACACATTGCTTTTGGAACAGAAGGTCAGTGTTGGCTCAGAAGCAGAGGGAATTTTGGTGATGTTTTCTAAAATTGCTTATGTCATTTTTGTTATGTTTTAAAAAAATTCTGTTTTCAAGTTCTGCCTTTACTAAAATAAAATGCTGCTCTTAGTTTAGGATGACGTAGTGAATGCATCTTGGATAGAATCGGAGACATCACTGATTTATTGGTAGAGTCTTGGTAGGAGCCTGGAGTTATCCAAGCTACTAAGCAGCTCTGAGAAACTTGATTCAGATTTGGGTACATCCCTGTCCTTTGGAATTTTAAATGGTTATTAATATTTAAGAGCTTCTGCGTCTATTCACATTGATCAATAGAGTAGAGGTAAAATGGGGTTACGTGTGGGCAACTGGCCACCTTTGAAATTTGATGATTAATAGTGGCTTCCACAGGGTGGAAATATTATAGCCAAACATCCAACTTAGCCTCTTAAATCCCATCACGGTCTGAACATCTTTATCCATTTTCCTCAGCCATTGATCTGACCTCCATGAATGGGAGGGAGGGGTTGAGATCCCTTCCAATGACCCAGCTACTTTCACATGGCTCCAGGGTATTTTTGACTTGCTACTGAGTCATTAACTATAAAATTACAGGATTCTGCTTCATTAGGTAAATTAAATTAAAGCCCCTTGTTTCATAAGTCATTACAAATACTCAAATGAAGCCCCAGTGGAGGATCATATGAGAATTGAAGTGAAATCAATTACCAAGTCTATGACATAATACATTTCTTATGTTATTTTTATGATATTTATTTTGGCAATTTATCTTTGCATGAAGCCCATTTTTTTTCTGTGCAATTATAGTGTTTCAAATAATGTTATAATTTGTCAGAATGTTAATGTTTGCAACCAGGTGGTATTTTGACCACTGGCTTATGAGCCTATATTCTTGTTATTTTAGCATGATCTGGAGAATAAAACTGTTATATATTCTTTTGTCTAAAATGTAGGAATTGTTAGTGGGATATTCTAAGTGGTATATAGGTGAACATTTGTTGGCAGTATCTCTTATATCATGTATCTCTGATAACAAATTCCCAATTATCCACCTGTGGCCCAGAGTCTATGCTCTATATATCTGAATGCCTTGAACTGGAGGTGGGAGGTGAGGGGGCCATCTGTAACTTTTTCTCTAGCTTCTCTTCTGAATTTTGACCTTCTATGGTTCATTGAAAGATGAGATGGGCATAAAACACCAATTTCAGGAGGTTTCAGGAGGCTTCAAGAAGTGACACCTTCACCAGATGCCCCTTATCCTATTTTCTAGAGTTAAATATTATGTGGAGTCGTAGTAGAAGTGTTCCCTCACCATAGACCTTCTCCCCATTTCAGATGGACATTTCCAAAATCTGGTCACAAGTGCCTGCCTTCACAGAAATGGGAGAAGCTCTCCCACTCAGTAGCCAGGAAGAGAGAATAGGGGCTGTTCTGCCACAGTGTCCTTCCCTCGTGCTGGCCAGCTCTCCTCTTCTAATTCAGTGGATTTTAGAGATTATAATCCATTAGTCAGTCATTAAAAATGAGGAATGATTAACTTAATTTCAAATTGCATCACAAACCCATTTCATAAATGTCTATGGTGGTATTGCTTTGCATTGAACCTAATGCAAGTTCATTTGGGAGAGGTTTTGTGTTTTTAATTTTGAATAAAACATACTCTTCAGTAAAATTATTATTTTTATTTTTAGTACCACAACATGTAAATATCATGATATCTAGTTTAAAATATCTAAGTTTAAATATCATGATATCTAATTTAAAATATCTAATAAAATTATCTAGTGTGGATAATGGTCTCTTGGCTAAGATGTTGGTTTTGGACAATAAATATTTGAATTCTTCAAAGGTCACAGGATATAACATGATGTTTGTTTTTCTTTAGAGCCTTTTATAATTCCACTTTTTTTTTTTTTTTTTGCTGGCTTTCCCATGTTATGTATTCCTCAATAAGAGATTTTACTTTGTAAGAATTTTTAAATAACAAAAGTATTATCCCAAGATTTATGAGAGTTTATTTCTATTTTCAGTAATATTTCTTGAATGGTATTGTGCTGTTTCTTTCATGGTTGTTGTTTTTAAAAAATAAATCTGGTAATTTCTATTTTTTTGCCCATCTGTTTATACAATAGAACTCATCCTATGCCATTAAAATCAAAGGGACTTATTTCTGAGTTGAGTGAGTAAATTAAAACTATAATCATCAGAGACTCATCTATTTGGGAGAGGATTAACATTTTGGAATATTTTAAATCACAGAAGCTTTTCTGAGACCCCTTTAATATCTTACAGAACAGCACAATTGGGGGTAGGATGATGGCGCAGTGTCATTACAATATTCTGTTAGGGTCTGTGCTGTGGAACGCCTTGAAGATAGAAAAAGCACATTTACTTTGTCTTAAGATAGATGGACAATTAATTCTCTCCCCCAACCAGATTTTTTAAACCACATTCTGTTTTATAGCATATAGTATAATTAATGAGGAACCAGAATCACTTTAAAAAATAATACTATTTTTAAAAGCAAAATTTTCTCCAAATTGAAATACAGGCATCCCTTCCAATCAGACATTAAGCTTTCATTGAATCCTTGGATTGGTTTCAGTTTTAATCACCCCTTGATGAAGCCCATAATTTTCAAAAGAGTACATTTTGTTGGCAGGGGACATGAGGTTTCTGATACTTCAATTCTGTAATTTATTGTCTGTGTCAAACTTAAATTTATAGCTTATTCCATTTTCTTTCATTTTTTCCCCTATGAACTTTTAGGAGGGAAGAATTTTTAACTAAAGCCTTAACTAAGGCTTTACAGCCATCATATTTTAATGTGTTGGTGTTGGGGTCTTTGACTTAATCTCCTGCCAATAATCATCTTCTCTAAGATTGAGATGAGGATGTAATACAAGTGATTATAAGGCAGGAACAAAATAATCAGATGAACGTGCATTTGTGACTGTCCTTATTACAATATGTTCAACAATATACTGGACTCTGTAGAGGAAATAAGTTTGATATAGACATTATTTTTTAGTCTCAATGTGGGTACTGCTGTCCTTTTCAGCGAATGTTGAAGATCTCTCTCTCTCTTATTGACTAATTTTTCTTCTTAATCATCTGAGTCTGATAGCAATAGGTAAAAAGTTAAAATTAAACTGAAGGGCACATTTTAATATTCTAAATAAATGGATTATTATTTTTATTGAGCAATTGTATTAAGGGAAGGAAAGATGGAGGGATATTTCCTTGAAATCAAATATTGCAAATATATATTGTCTCAGAGTGATTAATTTTTTTCCGTGACAGAATACACTTTTTCCTTGTAAGTAATTTATCTGTTCCTTTCCTCACAATTATTTCTCAGGATAAAATCAAGGCTATGGTTAGGTACTGTTTCTCAACAAATGATATCACTATGCATTTAATTCATAAGCTTAATGTGTTTGAAAGAATTTTAGAGTAGCTCAATTTTATAAATAGCACCTATAAATTATAGGATTAATTATTTAAATGAAAGTTACAGGAGAAAAATTATTTTATTTTTCCTGCTGGAAGGAGGATAAAGAACAACTGTTTTGAAGACAGTAGTAAAAACTGTGCTACAAAAATAGAAAGGTAAAGATTTGAGATATCTTGTCAATTGTCAAATCATTTTATTCTAAGTTGCCAGTTTAATTTTTTAAAACATGAGTTGGTAAACTCCAATCTGATTAAACATATGTCTTTGGGTGAGACTATTTTAGGATCTTTGCATGTTTCAAAAATTTAACAAAATCTGGTTACCGAATTAGCATATGGTCTAGACTAGAGAGACATCTCTTAATTTAGTTTAGTTCAAGAAGTAAATGTGTTCCCAATTTCTTTAACAATGGAAAAGTGCCCAGGACCCAAATCTATACCAACTGGTTCTTCTTGGGCAGTTGTCTACCATGCAACTATTTCTTTTAAGGCACTTAGTAAACCATATTAAAGTATGCATACTGGTTTTTTTTTTTTTTCTACTATAAACTATTTGAGAAAACATAGTCGTTTTTGTTGAACATTCATTGAATGAATTAATTTAGTTTGCACCTGGGTAGGTCTCTTAAATTTCCAATTTTATTCCACACGATTTTAAAGCAATTTTTTGCTCATAGGATTGTAAAAATAAGGGGGCCTCGTATATGGCAATTAGGATGATGATAAGCGTCTTCCTTTAGGGTAGAATAAGCTTCATCAATTCTAATTCCATGGAAAAGATATAAAAGGCCTTCTGCTACAAGGAAAGTAAGTTGGTTTTAGACTTGGTAATTTTTAATGGTTAAATAATACAATCACAATGGCTGCCATACTGAGTACTTTAGCATGTCAGACACTGAGCTAAATGCTTTACTATCCTCACAATTCTGTGAAAATTTTGATGCTCCAAAATGTCAACTAAATTTCCCAAAGCTGCAGGGCTAGTGAGTTGTTGAAATGGACCTTAAGTGGGATCTGATTATCCCCTAGCTTTTCCCTGTTCACCATGCAACAGTGACATCAATTAGCTAAAGTGAAATATTGAGCAAAAGGTGATGTTTTGGATAATTTTTTATTACTTGCTAGAATATATTTAAATCTTCATTAAATTAGAGCAGCAAAAGTTTATTTTTTTATTTATTTTTATTTTTTTAATGAGGAACAGTTAAAGGGGATTGGAAATAGCTTAGTTCTGACAAGACTTGAGTTAGTGAGGGTTTACAAAGCAGCCCAATTTTTTGAGTTATTAAAAGAGAGGTGGTGAATTACAGTAGAGGAGGTGCTGGCTGGGAATCAGGAACACCCTTCTGATATACTTGATTAAACGAAGAAAAAGTCTGGTGGCTTTGCCATTAAGTCTTCAGGAACAGGTTTGAAACTGGCCGTAATGACTTGCCAAAACTCCCTTCCTTCTGTGTGAGAAGAACAGACATTTAACCCCCCAGAGATCTTGGGATTAAAAACACCAAGTAAATTTCCTCAAT